CATCCTCCTCCGAGTCCTCCGAGTCCTCCTCAGGGCTGGCCATGACACATGCGCAGGAGTACTGTGCATGCGCGAACGAGTCGTGGACGCCATTTTGATTTCCAAAATGGCAGCCACGACTCGTTTGCACATGCACAGTACTCCTGCGCATGCGCACACACGTTGTGGCCACCATTTTGAAATCAAAATGGCGGTTGTGGTGCACGGCCGCATGGCGGCCAAAATGCATGGCAGCAGCGCGCAGCGGCGCGCGGCAACCTTCCACCTGGGCTGGTAAGTACGGGGACCTGGGCCTTAACCGGCCCGCGGGGCGTAGGTTGCCGGTCCCTGATCTAGACTAACAAAGCTGTATCTTTGAATCTGAAGGAATTTAACTTTGTATTTCCAAAAGTACATCTAGCTGAAAAACAGGCTTAACTTATTTCAGTGTCAACCTGGTGACTGCGCTTTCAGTATACTAATTATACTATATCATATGCTGTTTCTGTGTTGTTTGTGATTTGTGTATGCTTTGATGTAAGAAATGTGCATTTCAATACTTTTAGTAAAAAATGCTTAAGAGAATTGTTCACATTTATTCCTAAATTTTTTATTTTTCTTATCAAAGAAACAACAGAAATTAGTACATACTTGCTTAATTGGTACAGTACATATTTGCTGTTTGTCTGAAGAATTCATCTGGAATCACTGTTATCAATTACATATTCTTTCCAATCATTCTCCAGTATTTTTTGCATCAATTGTCGATCAACAAACAGTACTTTTTCCCCCCAGTTTCGTTGTTCAGTTATTCAGTCATTTCATTTTAGTCATCCTTTTCAGTTCAGAAACCCAGTCTGGATCATCTTCTGCTTCAAAATCCCTACACAAATAAAGTGGAATGTCAGATTTCATTGTAATAATTTTTGGCAGTGAGGCAGGGGAATTAAATCTAAAACTATATAACAAGAAGGCCGACTGCTTTCCTAAAATGACCTTGCAGTGTCTACAGCATCCAGCAGTTTTACGGATTCTAAAATCTTCCTGGAAAATTGGTTCTGCTGTGCAACCATTATAAAATCAAAATTACTTTTCTAGACCTAACAGACATTGGTTTTTTTCCTCAGGGCTCAGTTAAATTAATAAGCACTTGGAGGAAGGGAGGGATTATTGTCCTGCTGGGGAGGAGAGGTTTAGATATTTGAAAGGAGTAGTCATGTCTGTTCAGAAAGACTCAGACCTCAAGCAGATGGGGCAAAAGGAGAGGCCAGAGGCTGCTCCTACCCCAGTTACTCCTTGTTCAGCATGGGACTGCGGCGACCAGATGCCGCAGTCCTGAGGCCAGACACCACTGCAGTCCACAACGGACTGTCAGTAAGGAGTACTTTCTTGTGCTCCTTTTTGTTCCATGTTTTGGCCACCATAGGCAGCTATGGGGGGGCATGCATCATCTGCATCTAAACGTCTCACAAAACTACAATTCCCACAGTATCATAGCATTGAGCCAAGGCAATTAAAGTGGTGTCAAACTGCAGTGCAGACGCAGCCAAAGTAACCTATAGTGTATGTACAAATTACTCCCAAGTTTCAGGAAACA